TTATTCATACTGCTGGTTTTTACAGTGTTGCAAAATCATAGGTTTTAAAATGAACAACTGGATACTTTGTGGGGGATTTCCTTTGCTATAGAGCAAATCTTTTTTTTTTTCCTAAGTAAACCTTTGTCAGTAGCATTCTCATGGTAAGATTTGTAAATATAGGTTGAATGAGCTTCTTTGATGTGAACAGAAAGGACTGGGGCTCCGTGTGTTCAGGAAGAAACCTTGTGGTTGGTTTTGAGACAAAAGTTCCTATACCAGAAATCTTAGCTCTCTCCACATGATTTGCTCACTTTGTTTCATTTAAATAAAACTAAAAACTCTATGTTGGAATAACTGTATATGTCTGCTCTACTGGGAGTCCCCCCAATGTGTAGAAATGTGTTTAATACAGAGGAAGAACTCCAGAAATGAATATATAATTCAAATACATTTCTTCAGCATCTTTGCAGAAAAAAATCAGCTGATTACATACATTAGAGTTTGTTTCTGGACTTCACATTATTTCATTGATCTGTATCTCTCTCCTTGATGGCAATATGAAAATCTATTAATTACTGTAAAACCTGAAATCAGAGAGTAAGACTTCAACTTAGTTCAAAATTCTTCTTCTACCTATTGTGGCTATATTAGGTCTTATGATTTTCCACATCATTTTTTAAGATTGCCAATATCTATTTAAAATATCTCAATGGAATTTGTTTGGGATTTTGTATAAATCAGTTTGATGAGATTTGGCATTTTGACCTTTCTAATACATGAAGAAGATAGTTCTCTCTATTGTTTACCTTTCTTTACTTCCTTTCAGGATTATAGTTTTCAGAGAGAAGTATTGTATATATGTCTGTAACACTGTCTTTAATTTTGTCATGACTTTGGATACTTTCATATATAATATTTCTAAATTTAACTTTCCAAGTATTCATTACTGGGCTATAGAAGTAGAATTGATTTTTATATTGGTCTGTGTCAACAACCTTGCTCAATTCAATGATTAGTTCTATTGTTTCCATTTTCCTTGATTCACTATATAGGCAGTTATGTTGCCTTCATATGTCATCTTTTGAATGTTTTAAATTATAGTTAACATTCAGCATTATATTAATTTCAGTTATACGGCATTGTAGTTAGAAATTTAAATAATTTATGGAGTTATCCCCAGGATAAGTCTAGTACCCCCTATTCTGTACTTGACATTCCCATGACTATTTTGTAACTGCCAATTTGTAGTTCTTAATTCTTCTATCTTTTACCCTCAGGTTCCCAACCCACCTCCAATCAGGCAACCATTAGTTTATTCTCTGTATGTATGAGTTTGTTCCTGTTTTGTTTGCTCATTTATGTGGTATTTCAGACTTTACACATAAGTGGAAGCATATGGCATTTGTTTTTTTCTGTCTCACTTATTTTACTAATATGACTTGGTAAATATTCTCTCATATAGGGGTTCAGCAGAAGTAAGGCCTGCTTTTGTGTGGTTAGTAGGATAATAATGTGGGTATAATAATTTATAGTTTTAATTTGAACATTTCACCTAAAATGTCATATGGTGTGCTTGGGTGAAATATTGTTATGTTATAGAGTTGCATGCTTATGATTTTGTAATAAGAAAGGTGTGTTATTGTGCTGGGCCCTGTATTGTACAGAGGTGTTTGTGTATAATGTATATACCTTCATTATTAGATATTTACAATAATATTTACTTAATATAAATATTAAATATTATACAGTATTGTGTTTAATAATGTATACCTTCATTATTAAATATTTGGAAGAATTTAACAGTTTAACCATAAGTACCTGATATTTTTTCATGTGGATGGGATGATTTGTAAACACACAATTTTTTTTTTAGTTCTAGAATTTTACTTTATTTATTTTTATTGTTTTTCAAGTACTCATTTTTAAAAAAATAGACATAAAATTATTTAAGTTTTAGATCTAGATCTAGTTTATCTGCATGCAAATGTGGGACGGCCCAGTCCTCCGGCCACCACCTTGCTGTGCATCCTCTCTGCCCCAGCTGCCCACCCCTGACCCTCCTACCTGTCTGAACAAAAGTTTCTTTTTTAACTTTTTGATGGTGGAACTCCCATACAGTTCCATTTTCTGGCAGCTCTGTTTTTTAAAAAATTTGTAGTTGTTCTTTTGGTTGTTTGAGGAGGCAAAGTGTATCTACCTATGCCTCCATCTTGGCCAGAAGCCCTGTATTACATAATTTCTGACAGGAAGTTTGCCTGTAACCTTTTTCTTTGTTAAATAACAGCATTATCAAAATTGAATCATTACCAAACCATTAACCTACCTAATATATACAATTCAATGGTGTTTAATGAAATCACAGAACTGTGTAATCATCACCACAAATAGTTTAGAATATTCTCAATGTCACAAAAGAAACCCTGCAGCCGTCAAACCTTCCCTAAACCCTAGACAACCATGAATACACACACTTTCTGTATCTATGGACTTGCCTGGTCTTACTACTTCATACAAATGCAATAACACAATAGGTGAAATTTGTGACTGCTTACTTTCACTTATAATATTTTCAAGATCTATTTGTAGCACAAATCTGTACTTCATTACATTTTACTGTCTAATAATATATCATTGTATGGATATGCACATTGTGTTTATGAACCCATCGGTTTTTGGAAATTTGTATTATTTCCACTTTTTAGCTATTGTGAAAATGCAGCAGTGAACATTTGTGTACAGCTTTTTGCATTGACATATGTTTTTATTTCTCCTGCACATATTCCTAAGTGTGCAATTACAGCGTCAATGAAAACTTAATTTTTTTATATACTGTTAGACTGCTTTCTGAAGAATTTGACCAATTTACATTTCTACCAGCAGTGTAGGAAAGTTCCAATTTCTTCTTTCCCTCACCAACCTTTGTTATATCATGTTTTAATTATAGCCCTCTTAGTGGGTGGGAAATGGGAACTCACTGTGGTACTGATTTGCATTTTCTTGACAACTATGGAGGTTAAACATATTTCTGTGTGCTTGGGGGACATTTGTATGTATCTTCTTTGGAAAAATATATATCCAATTCTTTTGTCTGTTTTATAAGTAGGTTATGTGTTTTATTATTAATTTATAAATATCATTATTTATTCACAGTACTGTGATTCAGAGGCTGCTGGTTTTCAAGGCTATTGCAGAGCTGAGGTGAGTTGGACGGTAGTAGGACAGTTAAAATGCCACAAAGACAGCCGTACTCACTAAATTTTAGGGTGTCTTTCCTGAATTAATGCTCCTTAGATTTTTGCAATTCTGTTATTAATTCACAGAGCTCTTAAAAACTGAATTTTGGCAATTCTTGCCAGGTTTTTGTTGATTTTATGAGTGCATATATTTTTAAATTATTTACTTCATCATTTCAGAAGTGCTGCCTATAATTAATTATATATTCTTTCTTTTTCTTAAAAAAGTTTTTGTAATTAGAAATTATACACTCTTTTTGTAATTGAAAATTATTCTGTTTAATATTGCTGTGCAACAAGCTACCCTGAAACTTGATGGCTTATAGCAAAATCTGTTTTATTAAGCAAATTGTTTCTGTAGGGCAAAATTGAACACAATCCAGAGTGGGAATGGGTTAGTACTTTTCTTCCATGACTGGTACCTTATCTGGAAAGACCTGAAATATATGAGAATTCAATTGGGAGTGAATTCTCATTGGCTAGCTACTTCTTCTTGCTGTCCTTTGCAGAGTCTAATTTTTCTCAACATACTGTGAATAATATTCCTCGATATTTTAGACTTTTTCTCTTCTCAATCAAGTCTTCCTTTGAATGATTTTACCTTATTACTTCAGTTAATGCCTCCTCAAATGTATACTTGAAGCTTATTTTTCTTTCCTGAGTTTCACTCAGGTATACAATAGAAAAGTAGAAATGTAACATGTCAGAAATATTCCTTTCGAATATGTACTTTTTATAATATTTCCTAATGAATGATTGCTTTCTTCAGCAATTTGTTTAAGTAAGAAACTTAAACTAGGAATTATCCTGTTCTCTTACACACCCCTACCCCATGCACTGAACTTTCTTTCATTTTCTCTAAATCAAAATTTTTACCTAAGTTTTTATATTGTGCAGATCTGTGCTATCGTTATAGGTTAAAAAAAATCTACTCAGTGGATTCTAAATTCTAATGTCAAGCATTTACTTATGGAAAGCTTTATAATTCATAAGAGATGGTATAGTAACATTAATTCAATATTATGATAAAATTAATATAGAATGTGAAAAACTAGAAACACAGTAAGTGATTGAAGACATGGACAAGGATAATATTTCTGAGAAATGTTACGACAATAAATACTGAGTTACAAAGTGAGGAAGTTAAATAAAATTCTTAAAGACCGAAAAAGAATACCCTTGGATTAGCTGCCTATGTTCAGAATTGATTATGATAAGTAGCTCTGGATAATAGAATTAGAAATGATTTTTTTATTTTTAAACAAGTATGTATTTTTCTAAATTTTCTTGTTATTTTATCATAAGAAAAATACCATTAAAATGTTTTAATGGTATTTTGACCTCATCATATTTTATTCTCTGTTGAGTTTGATTACTTTTTTTTTACATTGTCAACACTGTCCTATTGTGTGATTAAGATGTACGTGACTTTGTGTCTAAGACCCAAGTACATTTTTGCTAAAACTATGGAAAGGTAGCATAAACAATGATCGATGGTTAATGCCTAAAAGGTCATATGAAAATGAACTACTTCACAGGTCAAATAAACAAGCCAGAGACAAAAGAATGTATTAAGGATGGGAGATGTTTGACCTGTGAGTGGAAGAAACTGACAATTTAACGAAGAGGCTATTTATTATTCATCTTTATTTCACTGGTACTAACCTAACCCAGCATTGAACTCACTAGTTGCCATGCTATGGTTGTGTAATCCAGGAGGCAACAGGATACTCGTAGAAAAATAGATTTATGGAAAATAGAAAGTTCATTTTTATAATAATATTGTTACAACACAGTATTGTATAGTGTAGTAGAATTAGAAGTTGCATGCGTATAAGCTATAGTAGTGGTAACGTGTTTAGCCGTGACGTGTTTAGCGTCTGGCTGTATGTAGTCCCGTAGAACACAGCAGGGCTTGTTGTTGCAGTAAGTATATATGTATTCCCAGCTGCTGCATGAAGTCTTGCAAACACCACGAACAAGGAGACATTCCATTTCTCTCTCTGCAGTTTTTCTTGTTCTTTCTCTTGTTTTCTTCTGTGAAACTAAGAAAAAGTAGCCATGATCATAAATCCGAATTCAATCGCTCACATAGCTAGATGAATAGACAGACAGATCATAGATTGATAAGTAAATAAGTTTGTTTAAAGGACAGAGGTAAACCATTTTGTTCTGAAATCGTGCCCAAGCAACTGTGTTAAAAAGCTGTGATTTTTATCCACTGTAAATTGTTATAAGTACTTATTTATCTAACATTATTTCCTTTGCCATCAGCATTTTTTGGAAATAGAATATTCTTAAATATCTAATAGGTGCATGTTTCCTCAACAGAAAAGAGAAAATGATGTAGAAAAAAAATCTACACGTTTTGTGTTCTAAATAGTCATCTACTCCCAACACCCTCTCCCTACCACAAATGACTAGACTAGTTAGTTACAGAAAGCCTAATTTTGACAACAGCTACAATGTCGGTTCATTACATTGCATTAAAAATAAATGACACACCAAGGCCTCATCATCCAAAGGCACAACTAAGAAAGCAAAAGTCAAGAGCTAGAGGCAGGCAGGAGAGATACTAAGATTCTGTTGGAGTTTTTATTCACCAACAAAGCATCACTCTATTTATTTCAGTGTAGCGTATTCCTCAATAAATATTTTTCCTCTTATAAAAATAAATAAATAGATGAAGACAAGTAGGAAGCACATAAAGAGTCATAGTCTCAAAAAAAAAAGCAGCAAACAGGTTTACTTACGCATCTTGGGAATCAACTCCACCCCCATTGTCTTATCAATCATTAGTTTCACTCATTTCTTCTCCCATTCAAAATTGCGTGAGATATATTATGAATTCATGGAGTCTCCTACCAATCATTCATCTGTTTTATTTATCCAGGGTAAAACACTTATTTAAAGAAAAAACATTTTGCCTTTCTCTCCATTTCCATATTAACAAACTTTACCTGATGGACCACAAGAGGCAGTAAAGACAAAGATCAGGAAAATACAAAGTATCTTCATTGTTGACATAGTTACTACAAAGACGCTGCAACAGAGCTCAAGATATCTGAGATTTGTGCTATTCTTTGGTAAAACAAAGAACTCTGGTTTTTATAGCCTTCTCGGGGTGATTACTGTTCTGATTAATGCCACCTTTCAAGAATGAGAACATATTCGTGTAACTATTGTGAAATAGCAACAAGCAGGTGAGAGGATTTTGTTCTGTTATGACCTCAATGAGCCAAATGTGAACTTATTTTCAATCACACAAGCAAAAAGCAGCATTAAAGTCTTTTTAAATACTTAAACCGAAAGCCCATAATCAGCAGCACCAGCAGCATTTTTGACCACATGCCTTTTCAAAGATATATTATGTGCCAGGCAGTATTCTAAGCACTTTCTATGGATTTATTAGTTTAGTCTTCATGCCAATTTCTATAACATAGAAATGTTTTATTTTTCGGTTGAGGGAATTGTGGCACCGAGAGGTTATGCAATTGTCTTAAGTCATACGTGTAGTGGTTGGTAGAGCTGAGGTGAACTCTAGTGTGACATGATTCTAGAATCCATATGCTCAGCCTCCACCTTCTCCACTCATAAGTGAATATTGGGTGTTCATTGGGTGAAGTTCTTCTCTGTGTGCATGGCCTCAGCCAGACACTGTCACTGAAACGTAACTTTTCTACAAACAAAATATTTCAAGAACATAGTTTGAGTACTGTTATATTGAATATTCTCCTAGTTATTCTATAGAATAATCAGTATAATTCCTTACGTACCAGGTAATGAATCAATCATAGGATTACCTCATTCACTGGGGAGAGCAGTGAGTTAAAACCTAAAAAAGCACTGGATTTAGATGCAGAAAACTAATCTTGAGATAGGGCTGTTCTGTTTACTAGCTGTATATTTGGGATAAATTTTCACTTGCTGAACCTCAAGATTCTCTCTTTAAAAGCTAATCGACAAAACAAAGAAGCAAGCAAAATATAACCAGAGACATTGAAATAAAGAACAAACTGACAGTAACTAGAGGGGAGGTGGGAGGGAATAATGGGGGGAAGAGGGAAGGGTTGTCAAGGAACATGTGTAAAGGGCACATGGACAAAGCCAAAGGGGGGTAGCTCTGAGGGTGGGGATCGGGGACGGCTGGCTTAGTGGCGAGTGGTAGGGGAAAGATGGAGACAGCTATACTTAAACAACAACAAAAAAAAAGAGAAAAAAGGAAAAATATTTGTCAAACTTAAAAAAAGCTCTATCAGTAGTACCAACCATATTTACAGGTTTAGAGTGAGGATTAAATAGATAAATATGTAACCACAATCCCTTATGCCTGAAACTAATATAATGTTGAATGTAAACTGTAATTGAAAAATTTTAAAAAACTGCCAGAAATAAGAATTGTTATCCATTTCTTTGACTTCATGGATGATGATAAGGAGGAACTAATGCTCTGTTTTCCTGAGTTTAAAAAAGTAATTACAGCCCTGTCTGGGTGGTTCAGTTGGTTGGAACATCCTCCCATACACCAAAAAGTTTGTGGTTTGGTCCTCTGTAGGGGAGCAAATAGGAAGCAACTGACTGATGTCTCCATCCATCTCTCTCTCTCTCTCTCTATCTATATATATATATATATATATATATGAGGGGTGTATGTATGTATGTATATATATACATATATACATATATACATACATACATATATGTATGTATATATAGAGAGAGAGAGTGTATGTATATATGTATATATACATACACACACACATATATATATATAATCAAGAAAAAAAACACATCCTTCGGTGAAGATAAAAAATTGTAATTATAATCTTCTACTCTAAATGTGGCTTGCGTAAGGCAGAGAGATGAAAGAACTATCTGGACCAGGTGTATTCCCTGTACACAGAGGGTATTTTTTGTGACTCCACGTTCTATTTTTAGTGTAATATTTACCAAAGGCTTGGTTCTTACTAGATACTCAATAAGTAATAGTGAACATTTATTGAACCTTTGTGAAATACTGGTTACTACCTGAAACCTTTACACTTATCTCAATTAAACAGCAATAACCTTGTGAAGTACACATTACTTTTACTGTCATCACTGCACAAGCAGGTAAATGAAGCTTAGAGGCCTTTCTCTAACAACTTGTTTAAAGTCGCTGTTCTGGTAATTACTGTTGCTGATGTTAGACCCCAAAGCAGCCTGCTTCTGGAAACCATGTTCTTATCCACTGCACCAGAATCAATGAGTCTGTGAATAATTTATGAAAGAGAATAATGAGTTTTCTAATGTCTTTATAACTTTTTTATAGCATAGCACTAAAATTATTTAAGCTTTATGAAATGGTAGGTGACTAACAGACTATAAAAGTAAAAAAAAATAATTCATGCCCAGAAATAGCAGAAGAATTAGCTGATTCAGTGGTTCCTGACCTTCAAAATCTTTAGAATCCACTGGGATAATTTTTAAAAATATGCATTCCTGGGCACCACCCACAGATAGACTCACTCTGTTGTTCAGTTGTGTGGTTCAGGAAATTGCACTTTTAAATAAGCACCACAGGTCTTTCCGATGCTGACCCAGCTCTGATACCACCGATTTAACCTCACTCTCTGCTTTTGTCAGACATGAGCTCGTGTACAACACATCATTTCCCATTGGTGTAGTCAGTCTCTTTCTCTGCTCTAACCAAGCCTGCCTGGAATGCAGAATGAATCATATTTTCTCCCCACCAAGCCCAGGACAATACGGGCACCCCTGGAAACATACATCCAAGCCACCTCTCAGGGCAGTGTAATCATGTGGACAGAATGACCTGAGTGTGAGTGTTACTTTGCTACTGCCCGGCTGTGTGGGCCTGGAGCGAACTGTGTTTCCATTCTGAGTCTCAGTCTTCTTAGGGATATTGGGAGTAATATTAATCATCTTGCATAGATAATGTGAAGATTAAATGAAACAAGCTGAGTACTTGATCTGATGTAAACTAATGCTTCTTTCCTTCAATTTCTTATCATTCCACATTTTACTATGTTCCAGGATTTGTAAGCCACTGTGCCACCAGGAAAAGCCACCTCTGATGGTTCACATGCTTCGTGGGTCAGGATGCCACCTCTGGATGAAAAGTAGTTTAAATAATGTAATATAATAAAATAAACACAAATCATTGTATTTATACAGGTATATATGTGTATATATGTGTGCAAATGTATATGTATTTTTGTAGAAACGTATGCTTAGAGATGAAATAAAAAAGTAGGAATAAAACAACTAGAGTTAAATCATGAAATCTGAGAATATTTACCTGTATTTCCCTATAGGAACATGTCTCTCAGTGATGTCACAGGTGGAATCCAATTTGTCTTCCCTTCTCTCCCCTGTAAATGTCCTACTGCAAAGCCCTCATTTGTTAAAAATTGCCAAAGTCTATAGTATGTCTGAGAAAATAGCTTCTAATATGAGATCACACCAAAATTTATTTTAGGAACCAAGATCAAACTATAGAATATTGAGAGCTGCCAACAGCATGCTCAAATCCCTTTGAAAGTGGTCCACAGCCTCTCAGAAATGAATGAACAAGATTTATAAAGTATTTCAAAAGTCCAGTTAACAGTCCTTACTTCTAAGCATCTATACCCTTGACAAATTACCTCCAACTAGACTAGACTGAGTAACTTTAGGATACAAGTGTGCCTATTCTTTGACATTAGAAAAACCTAGAATTGAACCTTAGGCTAGCTTTTACTATCAAAAATAATCTATTTTGAGGTCCAGTTTCCTTATCTATAAAATAATGATTTTAATATGAAACTTATTAGGCTGTACTATATATTAAGTAACACAAGGGACTGAAAAAGAGGACACTCACTAACAACTTTAAAAATTACTCAGTTCTTCCTATGTATTGGCACAATGTAAGGCTCTAGGATAAAGCAGGAGGCAAGGTAGCCTGGTCATAGCCATGCTTAGAGCTTAATTTTCAGAGATGAATTGCTCTTCACAAAATTCAGTAGAGTGTTAGGGAAAAAAATGACTATCAAGAAATGCTCATAAATGAACTCTACCATCCTAAGAAAGTGATGGCCAGTGAAAGGTGGTTTATGCAGAGAGACCTAACTATTCTTGAGCAATGCAGTGGGTGAGGAGAAGAGAGCAGGCCAGGGAGCTGACAGTGGTGGAGGGGAACCCGGGGTGCAGCTGGATTCCACCTCACTGGGCTTCTGATGTCATGGTGAAGTGGTGGACTTGATAATATGTTTGATGGAAGCACTTTAAGGGTTCATAAATTCCTTGGGAGGAGAACAGTTCGGAAGGGAGTAGGAAGAGCGGAGTCCGAGAGGGAGGTAACTTCAGAGACTACTACAGTCTGGGAAGGAAGATAAGGTGTCTCTCTGAGCTGCCTATCCATTGTTCTTCTCCCTGTTTACTCTCCCCAGGGTTTCACTAGTTCTCACTTTGAACCTGCCTGAACTCCCACCTCTTTGTCTGACCGCAGACGAGAAGAGCCTGTCCCCAATGTTTGATACATTTTTAGGTCATTGATCATTGATGCGTGTCTGTCCTCTCCACAGTCGTGGGTTGGACTTTATGTGCTTTCATAAGGAACAATCTGATAATAGGATTACTGAGCCAAATGGGAATTTACAGCAGAGGTTTTTCTTTCATCTCACAATGCTTGTACATTTTAAAGGACATACACCCCCCAATCATGTTGCCATCGAATGCACAGATAACAAAACCAGTTACTCCCACGTGGAAAATTTCAGGTTAGTTGAGAGATGAATATAAATGCTTGAGAGAGGAAAGTGGGGGGGAAGAGATGAAGAGGGAGGGAGGGAGGGAAAAGGATCACACTCATTAGTAGATGGATGCAGCTCTGATGTATTGGCTAAAGCAGAGTTTCTTGAACTCCTAATATGCATGTGAATCACCTGAGTTTCTTGTTAAAATGTGGATTCTAATTTATTAGGTATCAGGCAGGGCTGAAATGCTCCATGCCTTATAAGCTTTCTTGTGGCATA